TCTGCATTAGTTGCCATCATGTCGTAGAACTTTCTTTGACCTTTCTTCACACTCTTACTCACTTCCTCATTCAGTGCGCTGAACGTCTCCTTCTCTTTTCCATCTTTGCATTGGTTCATCACCTGTTTCACTACTCCCCACCGTCGTCTGTTGGTTTCCATGTGTCTGTAGAGAGCCACTCCTTGTTTTGTCTCTTCTTCCTTTCTAAGACGGCTGTATACGTTTCCTTAAACATCACTTTCATCGAGTTCCAGAGTTCTTCCACTCAGGTTTCTTCGGTGATGACACGTATTGTCTCTGACTTTGCTCTGATCTGATCCTTAGCGAAGGTATCCCTTGTAGTTTTGTACTTCAGTTTCTGAATGTGGAACTCGAGTTACAGTGACCTGTCTCCAGTTGTTTCGTTTTGAAAGATTTTAACTTAACCTTGAAGTAGATGATGGTGTGAGCCCACATCTGTTCCCCTTCTCGACTTTTGTATCTAATAGGCTGGCTGCATCTCCAGTTAACAGTTTGGATAGTCCACTTCCACTGCCCTCACAGATTTCTAGCACTTCTACACGGTATCTTCTCATCCCTTTGGCAATTTGAGCAGCCTTCTCAGCCCTGAACATCGTGCAGATACTTCATATCCCCAAGCTTATTTTCGCTTTCACGGAAAGAAGACATATCTATTGAGTCCACTCACGGACTCCCGAAGGATTTCTTTGATCAAAGTCATTCTATCTCTCCAACTTCGGTGCTTTGAAGTTTCTGTAGCGGTTGGAGTGATCTTTCGGAGTACAGTAGCCAGCCGCACACCAAAACTTCCGTCTTTTTCCAGGTTTATGATAGTAAGTAAATTAGGCGAGTTTTAAGTACTACTGTTGCTTTTTTATTCGTATACATTAAACTACTTATTATTAGTAAGTAGTGTGTTTTCTACCAACAAACTAGTTGAGGAAGTGGAGAGGATGGTACTTAGAGAAAACAGAGGTGATGAAGATAATCAGTCAACCAACAGAAACTACCTATCAATGCCAACAGAAGAAACTTCAAAGAGGTCACTTCATTCACTTATCGGTCTGGGAAGCATCGTTTCAACTACAGGCAGACGGCACGGATAAGGATATCAAAACCAGAATTGGAAAGGTGAGATAGACCTTCATCAATCTGAAGTCAGATTGGAAATCTTCTGTATTTATCATAAACAACAGAATTCGCATTTTCAACACCAGTGTGAAGTCAGTTCTTCTATATGGGCGCGCGCTTCACGAAGAGCATTTCCAAGAAACTAATGCAGACTTTTATCAACAGTTACCTTCGCCGGCTCCATATTGAAGATTAAATGGCCAAGAAGAATTAGCAACAACAAATTCTGGGAACGAACCAACCAACAACCAATTGCTTAACTAGTGTGCCGAAAAAAATGGAGATGGACCGGAAAAATGTTGAAGAAACCGTCGAATGACATCACGCGACAGGCCTTCGGGTGGAAAATGAATGGGAGATGACGAGTTGGGCGTCCGAGGGTGACATGAGGGAGATCAGAGACTATGGGCGGTCATGGGGCCACCAAAAGAGGACCGAAGAGAATATGACAAAGTGGAGAAGTGCTGTTAAAGCCCTATATTCCACTCGGAACCCAAGGGAACAATAGTAATATAATAATAATAATAGTATCGACAGATTGCATTTCAAAAGTATCAGTAAGGGGGAGATAATATGCACTAATATAACACTAAACTGACTGAATATCAGACAGATTAAGGGAAGTAACACAGAATTTATGAACTTTTAGGCTCGATAGCAGGCCAGGGTAGCAATAGTGGGTGACTGGGTCTGTTCTTTTTTGCACAGAGAACTCCGGATGGCTGAGGCGAATTGCAGTGGCCTCTTCTGTTTGGAGTATTCGATATCTAGAAGCCCCTGTTAATTTATTTGATACCCGGTAGATAATAGAGAAAGACTCTTCAATGCTAGCTTTGTGTCCTGTTTAGGCAGGGTGATCTAATGTAGAACTGTTGACGGTTTTAACAACACCTTTATTTAGCCACAAAGGTAGGTTTTCTCGAACACGAAAAATTAGGTTCCTAGAACAACCAATGGCCAATATAACTGGACCCACAGGAGCAGTTGAATAGACAGACTCAATTAAAGTTGGCTAGAATAGGTACTTCACCCTTCAATTTTGGAGTCACAACCGGTTGTGTGGAAAATATGACTGCAGCTTACAAAATTATTGCTGCAACTGGTGTTGTTCTTGCTTGATTCTGTGTACAGGTCCAAGGTAATACCCTGATAGGGGGAATTACTACTTAATTCAGTTATAAAACAGTACAGACATTGTTGATAAAATCTTTAGAATTACCAGCTACTGATTCACTGCTACATAATAGCTAATGCAATGAGAAAATTCAAATGAGCGCAGCTAACTATTTGAAGGAGTTGTTGAATATAAAACCTAACACTTACATGAGTAATATATATTTCATAAGAGGACGGGGCTTCTATGGTTTTGAAGATCCTAAAGCACGGATATTTCGTAGGAACTGTACAGCTTACATCCTTTTGAAGTAGTTATCATATTTTATGTGAATCGATTAATTTAGCGATAATCTCAAAAATCACATATTTCTTTATTTGCATTGTTAATATATAATTAAATAGCCTTACCGCGCTCTTTGAATTTTTGTAACAATATAACCTCCCTGTTCTGTATTCTGATTGCCTCCTGATTCCACAGTCTGACAAGAGGTAGTTCAGCAGTGTTTGGAAGGGGGGGGGGGGTGGTTAAGCTACATGGTGTTTCGGGAAACAATTTGTATACTGGAATCCGATAAGAAATTCGCCAAACTTTCTTCCTATAAGCAGGTCATAGAGCGTGATCTCAATATTTCGGGTTTTTAAGAAAACTTCGCAGCATCAATCATTCCACGTTTATATAAATTCCCTATGCTCCGATAATCTACCTGATCCCGATCTACTAGTTCGATCTATGTTACTGACCTTACAATAATTGTATGGCGTTCGGTAAATAGTCTAATTTTTCCAAATATGAACTTATTGGGTGCTTAGGTCAACAGTGGTTGACTCTGAGTCAGTTGGTTAGTTTAAATGATACCTTAATTCCACCCTCATTAAGAATCCTACCCAGAGCTTCTTATGTTCCTCTTTTTATACGGCAGTGTAATGGAAGAAGATTAGAGACTTGGTAAAGGACCTTTATTAGGGAAAAGCACATCATAAGATCACAATATTCCACGAAGATACTCTTTTCAACAAAATTATTATCAAGCTGTACAACTGTATACATACATGCTTTTTTAAGAAATTATATCCGGTGAATCAAAGGTGTGAATACATGAAATAAATTATCAAGTATTGGTTTTGTAGGGATTTTCTGTTTGATTGGTTGGAGGATTTCATCACGAGCTAGCACCATTGAAAAACCAGCAGGGAGTACTGGACAGCTGTTTCCATTGTCCTAGTTTGGGACTCTTCAGTAGTACGCACTCACTGTCCAGCACACCTTACGGGTTTTCCAATGGTTCTCTGACTGATATCAGCTCATGATAAAATCCTCCAAAATGAAATAAATTTAACGATTATCTTGGTAAATGTGGTAACACTTTACTTAATAGATGTTTAATAGGTAGTTGATTAGGGATTTTAAATTGCCGGAAAGGTCAACGACTTTTAAATACATATTTATCAGTAGGATTGTAAACGGATCAAGCATTTAGTAACGCAGTGTTGGCAAATCGACCAGATAATCGTCTGACTTGAAAACATCTATGAAACAACTAACCAAGATTTACTGAAACACAGATCTCTGTTGATTTTATTTACGAATGTATCAGAATGACTCATTGTGCAAAAGTCTATAACAGGTTTTCAAGTATTGGTTTGTAGGGATTTGGTTGACTGGTTACAGGATTTCATCATGAGCTGACGTTGGCTAGAGAACCATTGGGAAAACCTGCCAGGAAGTACTGGACAGCCGCTTCGTCCTAGTTTGGGATTCTTCAGCAGTACGCACCCACCGGGACTCGAATCTAGGACCTTCTGGGTACAAGGTAAGTTCGTAGACTATTAAGCCACTGGGACTCGATCCAATGGCCCATGAATTCTAATTTCTGCGAATTTACGATATAGTACAACAGCTAGCCAATGTCTTCGGCGAGTATTTGTCCTTACACCCGACCTGCTGCATCCTACTTGTCACGACTTCTCAGGTTGTTTCAGCATTCTAGAGTATATATGACCAAACACACAGATACTTAAAAGTCATGCACAAGTTCAGATTCACTTTCAAATTATTCAATTAGCGAGTTGATGACGAATGTCTCACAGAGATTTTATGCTGCAGAGAGACTTCCAGATCACTTTACACATGCCCAGTCATCACCTTCCTCAACAATGGGCATTGTTAGCTGACATAGGACTAGTTAGGCTGCAAAAGAGCTAGTGGTAGTCAAACCAAAATATGGCGTCATCAATCAATGAAATCTAAAACAGTTAGTTTAAGCTAGCCATTTAGGGATGTGTAGACTTCTTAGCTGGTTGGGGTCATCGGGATGGTAAGAACAGAATCAATGGCTGGAGATGATACGACTCAAGATCGTTCTCAAAGACTGGCGCAGATGCATTCACTCTTCGTTAGTTGTCATATGTAATAAAACTCCATTCTTTTCCCTCACACCTCTGTTTATTATTTCTCTTTTGATGAATCTCTCTTTTCTTGCTTTAAGTGCTAAATGGAGGGAGTGTGGCAACTCGAACTGGTGCATATCTGTGCAAAGTTCTATCTTGAAACCAGTCAGTCAGTCAGTCAGATCACTTTAGACAAAATCCTCCTTTGCAATATGAATGAAAATGTTAATAGAAACAATGATAAAAAGAAGTAATTGAATCCGTCTAATTCAAAGCTTTCTGGGCTAGACTTCAAAGGCACAATTCCCTCCTAATCCAGAACAGCATGTCCACATTTTTTCCAGTAATCATATTCATATAATAATGGCTTTACAACTATCCGTGATATTCATTTTTACACATAATTAAATTATTAAATAAACAAGTTTTCACAGCACAGAAATAAAGTGTCCGATGTTTTAGTGTGTGTGTGTGTGTGTGTGCATAAACACTTTTACAATCAATTGAAAGTCTTACGGAACACGTAAAATATGTTGTAAGTTTATAAACAGGCACTTGATTGATTTGTTTTTTTTTGTTGTTTTTTTGGAAAAAGGATTATTGTTCCGAGGTTAATCACACAAGGTTTCATTTGGTTGACCTTAGATTTCAATATTTTCAACAACAGACCCACTTTTCTGCGAATTATGAATATGTTAATTGAAAGTGTAATAAACAATGTGTTAGCCAATTTGAGTAGTATAATTGAGCAATGGGAAGAATTATATGCTGAAATTAAAAGAAATCACTGTTAGAGTATGTCGAAGGGAATGTATTTGAAAAAAAAACTATTAAATAGCTTGTCAAATTATAGTGCATGCATAAAATACTGGTCTTTCTAATATACATATAGTAGTGAATATCTACAGCTTATGTGCTACAAAATTCTTGTAATTCTGTTCTTCTGTCAAAATTTAATATCCATCTACAGTCAGTCTCATGTTAACTTGGGAGTTATTTGAAATGCACTTTGACAAACTAAGCAGGATAGGAATTTCGTCCTGCTGGGATGGACTAACTATCTTTGCTAGCTGTGATGTTATGATCGATGTATGCTTTGTGTACTACATGGAGGGAATGTGGCAATTCGAACTGCTGCACTTCTGTTTTCAAAGTTCTGTGTTGAAACCAGTCAGTCAGATTGATGCATGCACCTACATAATAACCTGATTGGACAATTTTCGATTGTTTGATTGATTTTGGTACATTCTAGACCACTTAGACAAAAACCAACACTCCGTTATAACCTATTTAGTGATGAGGTTTTTCAATTCACTACAGCCATAATATATTTTGGTGATCAATTAACCCAAATCTGGTATAATTCAATATGTGGTGAGAGCTGGTTGCAAGCCAAAATTGTAGACAACAACAATTTACGTCAATGTTCACGTCCCGAATCGGAGTCATGAGAAAAAACAATAACAAAGCTTAACCTTGAGAAAGTCACCAGCCAATCACGGCAGACTTAACGTGTGGAAATACGATTCGCAGATATATGGCTTGATTTTCTGAGAAACGGCCATAAAAAGATGGCAGAATAACCTTCAGCAAGAAAACAACCAATCAGAAGAGGTTGTTTCTCCGCTAACAATAATATACATAAAAATCTATAAATACCTCTTGATTTTCTCAATAAACAATCTGTTGCCAGGCCCTTGTCTTCTGTCGTTACAAGTACGGTATGAAGTCATTAATTTTCAACTAGGTGTTTTAATGATGTCCTTCAGTTTTGAGCAAGTCCAGCTACTGCTACAATAGCTACAGAAGCAATGTGAAGACTTCCAGGTGAAATTGATCGAAGTACTCACTGATAAATTATCTTTGAAATCATCTAGTCATTCTGCCATGCAATCAGCCTTAGAAATTTTCACTCCAGTCTCCACCACGTACTATGTTACTAAAAATGCTTCTGGAGATATTTCGCACTTAGTTGTGATGTTCAATTCACTCCAAAGAATATCGAAGATTTATGTTATCTTACCAACCGTCATGATTTGGATCTATTCGGTATTGATTCGATTGATAAACCATTCCTTTGAGAAACACTTTTTCGTGAAGCTGATTGTGATGAAACGATGAGAATTCTTCGTGAAACTTCTGGGGAACAGGCATCAGTGCTCAGTATCTCCTACAAATGTTTAATTCTAACCAAGGAACAATGTGATGACTACCATTCCTTTAGCTAGTAGAGTCGACTGTGCACTAAGCAAGGATCCCCTCGGGGGAGGTATCTCAGAGAGTACCCAGACATAAAAGTATCCTTCATTGGTCTCCCAATTGAAAATATGTGTTAGGACGGACTACCTATCATGGTTAGCCGCAAAGTTCATGACTGATACAATCAATCAGATATTGATTGTGTAGACGATTTATACTCTATATTGTGATGAATAAAGGTTCTTGTTGTTGTGGCAGTTAAATCTGACTTTTGTGTCTACCCTCAGAGTGGGGGATTGCTTTCAAGTAACCAGATATATATGATGGAACATTCTAGACAATTTAGACGACAGACAACAAAATCACTAATGCTCCGTCATAACACGTCAGCTAGATGTACCTGCATTCCCAGTGAGTGATGATAGCGCCATCACTGAGACTCAAACCCAGCGTTATCTACCAGACCACTTGAGTTACGAGAGTCACCCTTGGTGAAACAAGTATCAGTTGCTATTCATGTATGTCAGTTTTACTTTTCCCGTTAATTGACTGGACCGAAATATTCGGTCTCCGGAAACATGTCGGCTGCTGCTACTACGGGCACTTCAACAATGACTGAGGATTAAAATAATGTTATTCGGTGGATGGTGACTAGCAATAGAATCAAGGATCAATACTGATTTCTTTCTTAATTGGAACTCATCATCTGTATGTACCTGTATTCCTCACTGAGTGATGCGCCTACTGAGATTCTAACCACTCACACATCGTCTCACACAACATAATCAGTCATATTGATCATGTGGTGAAATTTTTTCGTGAACTCTCGGTTATTGATAAAACCCGGGGCGGGGGTCGGGGAGATCTATGTCTTATGTCATTTTCACTTAACAACTTGCCCTACAAACACAATTGAATAAAACCCAGAATACGCTATTTAGTGAAATGTAATCTTTCTAAGTTATACAACACAGTCACGATCTACAGTCTATCATATCACCCTACAATTCCTCTGATCTTGTAGACTATAAAATTATAAGTTTCAAAAATACAGAGTTAAAAATATTGATTTTGATGTTTATGGCAGAAATCTGTGAACTGACTCTGCAAAAATGCTTCTCATTAAAGTATTTTTAATGGTGTTTTCACTAGTTCATCTATATCATTCCATGACGGTGGCACAACGGTTAGGATGCTCGCCGACCATGCATTTGGGTCGGGGTTCGATCCCCGGCCGATGCACTCCTTTACTTCGCTAAGCCACTAGTGAGACTGGTAAAGCGGAAGGGTTGGGCATGAGGCTAGCAACCCCATCCTGTTAAAATAAACACTGCTACAGAAACTTCAAGCCTCCAGCTTGAAGCCCTATATTCCACTGGGAACGTGAAGGAATAATTTTTCAGCAATTTGATAATATCTCAAGTGGATGACTGACTCAATACCTCCGGCTGTTTTCCTAATCAATATAATTTAAACAGACAGTCTAGTTAGGGAACAAGTTCCTTTCACTGTTTATTTTACTATAAAAGCCTTAACGCATGCATTAGAGTAAAATGCATGTAACATTAGGAATTGTAGAGTACAAGCAGTTTGATTAAGAAGGTCATAATAGGGAGATGAAACACAGGAATGCCAAAATCACTCAGATAATCGTTTACTGATTTGGGTAGACATAAAAATGTCTTAAATATGTATTAAACCTGAGTAGGTATTTCATCAACCAGGTTAGTACTCATGCGTCAACCCGGTAGCCAGGTGATCAACGCTTTGACAGCTCTACGTTCCATCCTAGATAGGAAGATGGCTACATACTGCTGAAAACTCCCAAACAAGGAGAAAGCGGATATCCAGTGCACAAACACTAGCCTCGAGCAGTCGAAGCGAAAATAATTATCGAGCATTGGTTTTATAGGGACTTTTTGTTCGATTTGTTGGAGGATTTCATTATGAGCTGGCATCACTAAAAGAACCATTGGAAAACCAGCAGGGAGTACTGGACAGCTGTTTCGTCAGTCTAGTTTGGGACTCCTCAGCAGTTCGCACCCACCGGAGTTCGGACCCTAACTGATGTCAGCTCATTATGAAATCCTCCAACCAATCAAGCAAAATCCCTACAAGACCAATACTTGAAAATTAATTTGATCCTCACTAGTGACTGGCCCTATCCAAGCAGTTACTTGTGGTTCTAGTGGGAAGCCGAGACCAGTAGGGTACAGCAGGTTGAAGGTGAAGCAGTAACTCATCGAAGAAGCCATTGCGACGTGTTTGCGCTATGTCATGATTCGGCAGAAGTTAGAATTCATGGACTGGCCATTGCATCAGGTCCCAATGGCTTAATGGTCTGCGAACTCCACTTATAATTAGGAGGCCCTGCGTTTGACACCTGGCGGTAGGTGCGTACTGACGAAGAGTCCCAAGCTAGGCTGATGGAAGAGCTGCCCAGTACTCCCTGTAGGTTTTCCAATGGTTCTCTAGCTGATGTCAGCTCATGATGAAATCCTCCAACCAATCAAAAAAATAATTACCTTCGCTTTTAAATTCCTTACAAAACTTATCACTACACAAAAATTCCTAAAACATTAAACATAAAAAAAGTGAACGCAACTCACGTTATACAATAAATTGTTCTTATTCGAATGTACAGTTAATTTCATTCTCGATTTTTCTTTATCCATAGGTATTATAGTGAAATCGAACTTGGTCTCTAGCCAATCGTCAAGTATAAAGGTGAATCGACTGTTTGTTTCAGCGGATAAAATGTGTCCGACATATGACATAGTTCCTGTTACAATAATAATAATAATAATAATAATAATAATAATTACAACAGAACAGAGAAATTCGTAATTCTATTCGAATTTACTTTACCACTCCTATGATTATTATCATACCTTATACCGTTTCATATTGATTTGTAGTAGCATGTGAGCCATTTGAAACTTCTTGACGCGACTCCATTTCTTCTACATCCCTACCTGTATTTCATCTGTTCCATTCATATTTGCGTGTGTATTGGTTAAGCAGTTCTAGTAAAACCAATTAAGTTTTCACATCGAGTAAATACGACTGTAAACTTTCATAATAAAGTTGCACACTTCTTCAAACAGCTCGTTACACATGCCTAGCCACCGCCTTCTTCAATGGACAATGTTAACTGACATAAGATGGATCAGGTTGGAAAAGAGGAAACTAGTGGTGATCAGACCGAAACATGGCTTCATCAGTGAGGTGCAGACTTCCTGGTTGGGGTCCTCGGAATGGTGAAAACCAGTGGCTGGAGAAAATTGGTGATTTGGTTCAAAGTCGTTCACAGTGTCTGGCGCAGATTGATTCACCCTTCATGATTTGTCTACTGTTCTTCTATATTACTATTCATTTTGCCTTATATTTCTGTTTATCTTTATTTTGAATCTTTCATCTCTTGCTTTATGTGCTAAATGAAGAGAGTGTGGCAACTTGAAATGGTGTACATCTGTGCAAAGTCCTATTTTGAAACCAGTCAGTCAGTCAGTCGAACAGCTCGACTTCCTCTTAGTCACAAGTAGGTCTTTGAAAGCTGGTCCCCGTAATTTTTTGAAATTGTTTGTCTGATAGGCTTGATGACATTGACAATCGCAGCTTGTTAATATACTTCGAAAAGTATACAATTGGTGCTTAGTCCGAAAACTACACCAGTGAGGAGTTTTACAACTGACTATCTAGGCTAACGGCATATAACAACACTGACACCATTCTTCTTTGTTTAAACCTTCCTAAATATTACATGAACTCATGCATTTATATGAATATTATTATGATGATTATTCCCTTGAGTTCCGAATGGAACGTAGGACTTCATGAGCACATTTCCAATTCACTTTGTCCTATGACATTTTTAGCCTGCTTCACGATTGTCCATTAGCTTTCATTCGCTTCTTTCACTCTATCTCCTCCATGTCACCCTCTGACCCACATTCAACTTATTATTTCCCATCCAGGTCTCACTTGAGGGTCTGACACATGATGTCGCTTAGTGGTCCTCTCAGCGAAAGTCTAATCCATCTCCATTTCCTTCTGAATATTTCTTGAGCAATAGGTTCTTGGTTGGATCGTTGGCAGACTTCTAGTAAGTTACCTTAACTATCACAAACATACACATGAACTTAGTAATGAGACACGTACTATCTGTCAGCTGGCTACCTAAACTATGATGGATGGAGAGGAATTAGCTGCCACTGCCCAGTGATCGATAGTCGAGTACTTAAACCCATAAGTCATAAATCTTTGGTTGGACCCTAGTAACTAGTGTGATGTATCTAGTCCTTTCTTTGGTGCAAAATGAATTCTATCAGTCAGTCAGGTTTGCAATGTGACCACTATTTCAGGTAGCTCGCCATCACGGTATACATTGATTTGATGGCATTAGATGGTTGGATGCAATCGCCAAGTGGTGGTAGCACTGAAAACCTGATTGATAGAATTCACTTGCCACCAAACAAAAGACTACACACATCACACTAGTTACTAGTGTCCAATCAAAGTACCCAATACAGTCCTACAGGAAGGAGGTCAATTGCGAGCCCGAATAGTCTCTGAATGCAGCACTGGGTGACGCGCGTTCGAATCTCAGAAGGGACATGAATTTCTTCAAGGTTGCAGATACGCCTTGCTGACTGGTGAGTGACAACTAGCACGAAACCTCGATCAAACAAGGCTTCCTGCCGATTGCCTCCAACCATCTAAAGTCATAAATCTATACATGAATTTCAAACGCCTCTTCGAAAGGTCTAAATTTACGAAAATCAGCGTTTTTTGGTACAAATTCGTCTGAAAAAACTGGATTTCGACAAGTGGCGTTAATTTACTCCAACAAATGAATTCACTATTCGGATATAAAGGTTATTAAAGCTTAGTCCACAGTCTATTCTACTACTTACTATTATTATTATTATTATTATTATTATTATTAGTAGTAGTAGTAGTAGTAGTAGTAGTAGTAGTAGTAACATTATTCTTGATTCAATGGACTATTAACCTCACTATCTAAATACCATGATAAAAGGTATTCACATAAAGTAGAAAACCGAGTAGGAAACTGTCATAATATATTAGTACTACTATGCTACAAATACAGCTCCTCAATGAAAGTAGGATTCGAACAAATTCTCTTAACCCTTAATTTCCAGTTTCTTCATGCCTCTGTTACTTTCCTTATCACCAGTAAGAATATAGTAATTTCATTTCGGCTAAGAGGAAAGATAATGGAAGCCGACAGTAAAACTTTTCAGTTAACTAGACTTTACCATCAAAATCAGTTACATTGTGATCAAAATGTAATAATAGGCTTAAAGTTACCAAATAAACTGCAGAACACTGCATACTAACTAAGTTTTTAATATACTGTCTGCACAAAAGTGCAGCAGTCGAAGTTGCTACGCTCCATGTAGCTTACAAAGCTAAACAGAAGAGATAAAAAAGAGATTTAGAAGAACTACAATAAGACAAGGCTGTCTATTGTCATCGAAGATATTCCTAATTGCGGTGGACTGGATTATGCGTCAGACTGTGCATGGGGAGTGAGAAGATAGGAATACTTTGGAATGACTGATAAGAAGACTCTAGAAGATCTGGATTTCACGCGTGGCTGATTTATGTTTAATGTCACACAAACTCGAAAAGAATTGCGGGAGAAAACCAAAAAACTAGACGAAGAAGCAGCGCAGACAGGACTACAGGTGAACATACAGAAGATGGAGGTGATGAAGATGACTAACTACCATCAACAGCAACAACAACAACCAACACCAATTGCCGTCAACAGAAGAGATTTGACAGAGGTTGCTTTCTCATTTATCCGGCTAGGAAGCATCCTTTCAACCACAGGCGGGCGGAACGGATGAAGATTCAAGGACAGACAGCCAGAGTCGGAAAGGCAAGACAGGGTTCATCAACCTGAAGTCAGTTTGGAAATCTTCGAAACTCACTCAGCCAGTATAAACAACAAGATTCGGATTCTGTGAAACACAAATGTGGAGGCAGTCAGTTCTTCTTTATGGGTCAGAAAAGGATTTCCAAAAGGCTATTGCAGACTTTATCAACAGCTGCCTTCACTTACTCCATACTGAAGATCAAATGACCAACCGGCCAGAAAGAATTAGTAACAAGAAACTCTAGCAACAAACCAACCAACAACCGATTGTTCAACAAATATGTGGACGAAAACGGAGATGAATAGGGCATGCGTTGAGGAGGCCGTCAATGACATCATGCGCAATGCAAGCCATCACTCGAGTGGAATCCAAACTGGTAGTAACGGATGGGTTGTCAGTGTGAGGATGACATGGAGATCTTGCGATGCAGGGAAGATGAGAGATTATTGGCAATGGTGGGCCCAGATAAAGAGGATAGCAGGAAATAGAACAAAGTGAAGGTGTTTTGCTGAAGCCCTATGTTCCACTCGAATCTCTAAGGAATAATAATATTAATAATAATATAATAAGCATAAATGAATGGGTCCAAACAACAGTAACATGGAAAAACATGAGAGTTTGATAGACAAGCGATATCACGAACAGTGAATGCATCGCAGCCATTCAGAATGATTTCCAGCCACATCACCAACAGTGTCCAGACGTTGGTTTGACCACCACTTACTATATTCCAACGCAGTTGTCTATCAGGTAACATTGCTTGTCGAAGAAGCTGGAGTCTTGGCATACGCAACACGTACCCAACCCATCTCAATCGATGTGACTCCACAACTTCATCGATAGACTTCCCTTCTTTACTTAGCACTCTATGCCTAACTTCACTACTGTCCACGACATAATACTACTTAATACGGGAGACAGAACGCAAACGACTATGGTCAAATACAACCAGCCTCACAAACCACAGAACTAAACACATAAACATTTGGAGTGATGATTAGGATATTACAAAGGAAGCAATAAATCAAAGATACAAATTAGCAATACAAGCCTTTGAGCTCCTATCCTGAGATCTCTACATAACAAGGTGTTCATAAGATCAACTGTTTGTAAGATCAAATGTAGGCACTGCTGAGGAATGCCATACTACGAGGAAATATCTATCAACGTACTTTCACCAGTCTTCAACAGAGTTCAGGGTGATATTCTTTTTAAATTCATTCAAAAGGCTAAATTAATCAGTTTAAAGGTAATTAATATCTTAAAACTTTATAACTTAACTTTATAAGAGTAACTGAATAAAACAAATCCACCAAAATAATCATTTTTAAATCAATAACCATAATAATTACCCAAATATCCATAGTCGACTACTAAGACGAATTCTTCACCGATACTGGCAATAAATGGTTTCATTTCTGTTTCTGTTGATAAAACTGAAGGCATCCACTAGGCGTATGAAAAAATAAATGAAAAGGATAAACCGAAATAATTCAAATATTCAGTAGCGATGAGGTTATTTCTCAAAAGGCAGATTTACTAGCCCCAAGTCCAACCTCCCCTGTCTTTTCTGGGCTTGGTACAAGCTAGTAAAGTAGGCAAGATTTTTGATACAATAGATGGAAATAGGAATCGAACTTCGCCACCGTGGTAGAGTATAACCACATCATGGGATAAATTCACCCGATAAAAGTGCACAGAAATACAGTGTTAATATATGTGTAAAACTTGGGCACTGTGGTAGTAAGTAATTCCATATTAGTTTGTTTATTAGGCATATCACACAGTGAAACAGTATTATTTACTGGATGACGTTTCGAACAAAATTTATTGTTCATAATCATATAAATTATAATCACACGACTTCTTTGTTCTCTCTTATTTGTCGTAGGGGTAGTAGAATTTTCCAGTTATCTGGGACAGGTGTTGAATCATTCCTATTACATGTATTTGTAGTTGATTCGATAAACAATAATAGTAATAATAATGACGACATGCATGTCAAATATGCGCAAGACAAAACCAACAATAAGGAATCTAAATCATCAGTAGTAATTCCATACAATGAAGGAACCTCGGAAACCTCACGGAGAATTATTAACAAGGCAGGAATAAAAGTGGCTGGCATTCAAACGCACAAACTCAATTAGAAACAAGCTTTGTCGGTTACAGGATCCTGTGGAGCCTTTACAACAAAACAATTTAGTTTATCTAATACCCTGTCTCCAATGATTGTCAGGTCAAACTAGTAGAACAGGGGTAGTCAGACTAGCTGAGCATGAAAACCTAGCAAAATCTAGATTGGTTGACCCGAATAAGATAAGAAATCTAGAGAATAGTTCAGCTATAGCACTACATGCAATTACACACAACCATACAATAGGGTGGGATAAGATGACGGTTTTAAAATCTAATGTCACAGGGCGGAGAGATTGGTAACAGAAGCTTTGTTTATCGAATCAACTGCAAATACATGTAATAGAAATGATTCAACACCTGTCCCAGATATATGGAAAATTCTACTACCCCTACGACAAATAGAAGAGGACAAAGAAAACTATAAAGCTCCAGTTTCAAAGTCGTGTGTTTATAATTGATATGATTATGAACCACAATAAATTTTGTTCGAAACGTCATCGAGTGATACAGTGTTATTTACTAATGACGTTTCGAGCACAGTTTATTGTTCATAATCATATCAGGGTACTTAGTCTATGTAATCCCACTTTTTCTTATCCTTTGGTTCTAGTGGCAGTAATATTTTCCGTTTCTCTGGTACCGGTGTTACATCATTCATACTGCACAGGTTGGGAGCAAATTCGATGCATACAAATTCACTAATCAATATCTCCCTTCCCCTACTTATATTACTTTTTAGATTTGTAGCCCTGTCCCACCCAAATTTGTGTTTGCCTGTTATAGTTCATACTTTGTGAATGCTGACTTTTTCTCTAAACTATTCATCTTTGCGAGGTCAATCATCTTACACCTAAGTATATTTTTATGTTCTGATAATCTAACTCTCTGTAATCTACTGATGTGACCTATGTGATTGACCTCACAGTCATTGTAAGATATTTTATAGATTAAATTAATTTGTCTAACCGGATCAATAAGGTCCTTTAGTCAACAGAACTTGTCCCCAAGTGACTTTGTAGGTTCTATTGCTACCCTAATTCCTGCTGTATTAAGTATTCTAAGTAGTTCAAATGAACTGTCGTCAAGATTTGACAGAATAGTCCAATCTCGCTGAGAATTTACAAATATAATATTTTACAAATGTCTACTTCTCACTCAGCGCCCAAATATTTTAGAACTATTCTGTCAAATCTTGACGACAGTTCATTTGAATTATTTTGCAATCGAATTAAATTAACAAAGAAACTGTGTCATTGGCACAATCATCGTGTTTTCACTCTCCGTTGTCTGCAACAGAATGCATATCCTAAATCCGTAGCTGTCGAGTCACCTGACAACTCCAGTAGGTCGAATAAAGCAGCTCAATATTCAGAAAGAAGACAAAGCAACAAGTCCGACAGGGTGCTTCTACTAAACTCTAATCCTAAACACCATAATTTTGAAAATACGTCCAATCATAAAATTCTAGATACTAACAGTTTGAACAGACATGAAGGTTTGATGTTAGCTGATGCATAAGAAATCCTTATTAATACTTGGTCAAAATTCTCGACTGTCCATATCTCCTTATGGAGACGTTAAGAAATGTTTTACAACTGTTTACCCACACACACATACACACTCTGTTTAAAGTGTTTAACGAAGGTCAAATTTCGATCACAGCTCATACAATTTTGTTTATTATACCTGTTGATACCTGTTTCATGATTCATATGATAGGACAAAGTTTTTAAAAACAAGTGATGTTCCTTTTATATATAAACCTCTGTTATGTTAATTTCGATTAATTTCCCTGAAGAAGTTCGGACCAGATTGCGACACGAAACGTTGGAATTACTCATTTCAATCTCGCTGAGATTTTACAAATATGTTTTACAAATATTCTAAGTAGAGTTTTAGTTGTCCTTTCCTTCCTTGTATGGTAAAACTGTAAATTCCCCCAAATGGTCAATCGTTTCACTGCTACTTTTCCACTTACTGTGAGCTTTCGTGATCTTTCTAATGAGTTTTATAAGACAATTGTTCAGCACCAATATTTCTTTCGTTATTTAGATTTTTCGATGTACTACCAACTCGGCTGATTAAACACTTAACCGAGCCTGCACTTACAGATAACAGATGAGGTGACTAATTATTGTAGTTGTATCTGATTTGATTCATTCCATAAGATTCTTAGGGCATTAGTGACCAAATCAATCTCTTGTATAGCCGTCTAAATTATGTTTAGTGAACACACTATGCAACTCCCGAATAACATCGCATCTTATCTGTGATGCATCATTCTGAAGTAATATTTGAAAAAATATCAACGTTACTTAGCTAGGATTTCGACTGCAAAACTGTTGTAATCAATATGCATTATATTCTTGTTATATTTTATAATCCCCCAGACTTGCTTTTTTTATTACAGCTTGATTCCACATTGTATTTTTTGGTACAGGTGTGGAATTTTCAGCTTGTGATATCGGTAGCCCAAATTCAGGCCGACCATTGATATCAGGTGTGCGTCGGCAGGGGATCGAATCCCCGGCCATGTACATGGTCGGTAAGAGTCCTAACCACTGTGCCACCGACGCATCGTATATTAACATGTTTCGAAGCCGTTTATTGGATCTCAAGGTAGGCCGAAATATCCTGAATGCAGGCTTCAGATGTCTTGAAAACCCGTCAATATGATGTCTTATAAAGTAATTTACCCTTAATTGAACAATTAATTGTAGACTGGCTAATCACAGATATTCTTCTCCTACAGATACAAGTATCTACAGAATATTACGTCATTTCCTCAAACAGATGCAAATCACGAAACAACAGCCTAAAAACCGAACATTACCTGTATAAATAATTAAATGACCAGGCTTATTCAAGTTTTTCCACTTGAATTTACCACAAACCAGCATTGACGTACGTCTGTAAACTCAGTAAGCAAAAGCTTTCTCAACGGCAAAATTAGCCATAAAAGTACTATACGGAAATTCTACAAATATAATTACTGAATATTCAGCAGTGGTTCAAGTGTAGCATGTTTTCAATCCACACACGTGGTGAGGGTTCGACTACCGACTGACGTACACCTAAACCTCGACTAGACGGTAGTATGCCTTGAAGAGAGTGAAGGTTGGACGTAAAAGAACAAAATCACCGCTATTGAAATTCCAAAGCTTGAAGCTCAATTTCCCCTTGGAACGCAAAAGAATTAAAAAGACCTACTGAATAGAAGCTGTCAGTACATTGATTGTTCGACGCATATCCAATCTAAAAGGGTTCGAGAATATTACCCCACCGTATGGTAGTAGAAAGGTAGTAGTGGCTAGCCTTATAAGGAGTGCGATATAGTCGGACACCTTATCAGCACTAGTCATTCTATCTCAGAAATTTCATCCTTCAAAGTAATCTACAAATTGAAGAGCAAACCTGTCAAAGACAATGCGCTTTCGTCTCCACTGAGCATTACTGAAGCCTTAGCCATTCAGTTGGAGAAACCAGAGTTATGTATACGAAAGAAAATTATTGTTCAACCACTTCTACTACCATGGCGACTCCTACTGACTTCAATTTTGTTTATTTGTTTTTCTAATTCTTTACAACTCGTGCACTTTTTAAAAAAAATCTTGAATAATTCAATATTTTCCTACGTTTCTATGTGCATCCTGATTACAATTCATTTGTTAAATTATTCATCTTGTTACGTAACTCCTTTTATGCACTGAAAACTATGCTTGTGATAACTTATCACTTTTATTACTACCCTGTTTTGTGAGAAAAGAAACTGTATATATAGTGCGATTGTACAGCTAAAGAGTAGAGTTAACTCGCCGAAATAAGCCCCCTCACTTTAGTACACGGAAACTTTGATTTCATGATACTTTTCCTATAGTCAATAAAGCTCATAAAAGTGTCACAGTGTGCACCTGGTTTCAGATTCAAGCCACGAGCACATACATCACCCTGAATAATCAGGCAGTTACTCTGACAACAGTTTACACACACACACACATCTGGTCTAGCCAATAACCATAAACATTACACTGTACATAATAATTATGTGAAATTAAAAGTGATCAGTTAGAAAACCAATAAATATTGTACTTCTTCCACCTATTTTTTTTTTATTCCATGTGCAAAGGCTTAACCAAGGTAATATTAATTTTTAATGTAAGTGTAGAACTTCTGCACTGTGGTAGAATGTAATTCCAGATTAGATACGTTTATTTTAAATATTACACAGCGATGTAGTATTAAGAACTGGATGACAAGGTTTCGAGTATAAATTATTGCCACTCATAATCGCATATCAATTTTAGTCACACTGTGTCACGATTTGTCTTATATCAGTGTTCTCTCTTTCTGTCTATCCAACTGATATCAGCTCATGATGAAATCCCTCATCCGGTATAGGTGTTGTGTCATTTCGACTGCATGTGTGCGGTGTTCAATCGATAAATAAAGCTTCAGTGATTAACCTCTCTGTCTCTCCATCTAACTATATTACTTTTTAATACTCTCACCTTACCCCATCCACCCTATTTTGTGATCACATGCAAATAAATGCAGTGTAATGCAATGACTGTGCTATTTTTTCTAGGTTATTTAACTTAACAGAGTCAATTACTCTAGGTCTAGCTAAATTTTTATGTTCCAAAAATCTAGTTGGAATGGCAGTCACCTCTCTATCTTAACTTCATCGACTTTGAAAAGGTCTTCGACAGCGTCGATCGAGAGGTGCTTTGGCAACTACTTCGCTACTACGAGGTGCCACCGACAATTATACATCTCAACCAACAGCTGTACAACAATGCTGAATGCCAAGTAATCCACAACGGGAAACTTACGGAATCCTTCGAAGTGAGGACAGGAGTAAGACAAGGCTGCCTATTATCGCCAATGATTTTCCTGATTGCAGTAGACTGGATAATGCGACAAACAGTGGGCAATGAGGAAACAGGCATAAAATGGACTCACACAAATAACTTGGAGGATCTAGACTTCGCCGATGACATATGTCTGATTTCCCACAAACTGGAAGATATGCAAGTGAAAAGCAACAAGTTGGCAGAAGAAGCATCAAAGATAGGACTTCAGGTGAACGTAGAGAAAACGGAGGTGATGAAGATTCCTGGACAAGAACAACAACAACAGACAACGATCAGCATACATGGGAGGAACCTGAAAGAAACAACCTCTTTTACCTACCTGGGAAGCATCGTCTCAACTACAGGCGGAACTGACGAGGACATCAAAGCAAGAATCGGGAAAGCAAGACAAGCTTTCACTACTCTCAAGTCGGTGTAATGGTCAACAGCACTCAGCATCAAAAATAAGATCCGGATTTTCAACTCTAATGTGAAGTCAGTGCTACTATACAGATCAGAGACTTACACTGCGCGTCATAAAGAGCATCTCAAACAAACTACAGACCTTCATTAACAGTTGTCTTCGCTCAATACTACTCAAGATCAGATGGCCAGAAAAGATCAGCAACAGAGATCTCTGCCAATGAGCGAACCAACCAGGAACCGATTGTGCAACAAATAGGCAGGAAGAAATGGAGATGGATTGGCTATACTCTGAGAAAACAAACCATCAAGTGACATCACTAGACAAGCCATTCCTCTAGTAGAACCCGAAAGGGAAGCGGCGAGTTGGTCGTTCAAGGATGACTTGGAGGAGGTCATGTGAAGAGATGAAAACGTGTGGGCAGACTTGGAGCCAGGTGAAGACACTAGCAGAGAACTGAACGCAATGGAGACGCACGGCTGAAGCCCTATGTTCTTCTAGGAATTAAAGGAAACAATAATAATAATAATCCAGTTGACCCCGATCTACTAGTTTGATCTATGTATTTGAATTAACCTGACAGTCATTACATGGCATTCGGTAAATTATATTATTTTTCTTAATTGGATATATCGGGCAGGTCCTTACGCCAACAAAGTTTATCTCTGAGACAGTTGGTTGGTTCTTCTGAATGCCACCCTAACTTCAGCCTCATTGAGAATCCTACGTAAGGCCTCTGACGTTTCTTCTTTATACGGTAGAGCTACAGTGGCTTTGAATTCTATATTATTTCCGTCATTTTTATGGCTTATGTTAGTTTTTCTACGCTTCTTCATATATTTTTGAATAAATTCTGGTGGGTAGTTATTCACTAGTAATGCTTCCCATATTTGTTTAATATCGTTATTTAAATCTGCTGGTTTACTAGTTATTACTAGTCTAACTAGTCACTGACTTCTAGTCACGAATACATATTCCATACTTAGAAGTAAATATCATTACGAACTTTCAATAGTCAGTTTGTAAGGATTAAATTTGTTATTACGAGTTGATCACGGATAGATATCAGTTAGAGAACCAATGGAAACCAGCACTGGAGCACTGGGCAGCTGTTTCATCCTAGCTTGGGAATCATCAGCAGTAGGCATCCACTGGGGTTCGAACACAGGAATACTCACCAAAGATGACAGTGGCTGGTGCCAGTCGCACTAAAATCGCCAATCGGTAGAAGTCGGAATTCATAGTCTGGTCACTGAGTCGGTTCCCAGTGGCTGAATAGTCTACGAGTTTGTATTGTAACTACAAGGTCTTAGGTTCGAACCCTGGTGGTGGATATGCGTACTGATGATAAGTCTCAAACTAGGACGAAACAGCTGTCCAGTATTCTCTGGTGGTTTTCAGTGGCTCTTTAACGGATATCAGTCTGTAGTCAACAAGTTATAAGCATAACCCATGATATCCTAAACATCTGAATCACCAATTTAGATCTACTGGCTTGTCATATAAACAACTTACCGGTGGGTTTGCTAAATTTAACAGCAAGTGGTACAAGTTGATACATCATATGGGATATGAACTTACTTCAACTTGCTTGAAACCCAAGTCCCCTAATATGAATATAAATATGAATATATTTCAATGAAAAACACATCTGAATATTATTATTGTGGTTTATCTTAAATCTCATTTCGTCTTATTTGGGACTCGTCATCTGAAATTAACTGTATTCCTAGTGAATTTCGAAGCCTACATCCAATATTTGAAACGCCAAAAAATTACCTACTACCGGTGCATCCATGAACCAAAACAGCATCAAGTTAGTCTTCAAACATCATCTGAGCGTTCGTACTAGAAGCCGACATTTCAACAGAGACTGAACATGTCCGTCCAATATAAAAACAAAAACATTCGACTATTATTAATCAAGAATTAAGCAATGCAATGCAATTCATGAATAAATAGTATTGTTCTGATTTATATACAGACAAATGACAGATAGACTTACACGTGAATATGCTTGAGTATCTGTTATATGGCGATAACATTCATTTGCAGACAGTGAAACAACCACTTCTTTTTCACCGATCTTTCCATTAGGTACAACATTTAATCGACTCAATAAAGCGACGAAGAGGATAAACGCTGCTAAGAGTAATTTCATCTCTTCTTCTTCTTTTGTTATTGATGCTGTTTTTCAGTTTTCAGTTTACATTTATAGATAGTTTACTTTTATAGAGAACTCATATCCCAAAAGCAAGAGAATAATTAAAATTGAAGGGAAGAGAAAGAGTGTGAATGAATAAATAACTCCTTGCAAGTTTCTTATTGGTCAACGAATTTACAACCAATCAGAAACAGGTATATTTATCGACCGAACGTATTTATTCATAACTGCTCCCATGGTGAAATTAAGGATAGTTGGGGAAAGATAAGGAACAATAGTTCAAAAATTATATGTTTTTGCATGTAGACAATGCTTACACCTAGGTGATTGTATGCTTAATTTAATACGAATATACTGTAGAACTTTATACTCATGGATTTGCACCATCTACCTGTTTGTTTTTCTATAGTTGGTTTGTAAGGATTAGTTTTGTTTATACGAGTTGATCACGGATTGATATCAGTCAGAGAAACATTGAAAACCAGCACCGGAGTACTGGACAGCTGTTTCAACAGCCTAGTTTGGGAATCATCGGCAGTACGCACAAAATGGTAGAAGTTGGAATTCATGAGACATTGAATCGTTTCCCAGTGTCTAAATGGTATACGAGCTTGCCTTGTAATCGGAAGGTCCTGGGTTCGAACCATGGCTGTGGGTGCGTACTGCCAATGGTTCCCAAGCTAGGCTGTTGAAACAGCTGTCCAGTACTCCGGTGCTAGTTTTCAATGGTCCTCTAACTGATATCAACCCGTGATCAACTCGTAAAATACCTATTTGTTTGTTATTCAAACCATTTGGGATACTGAACAGAAAGATCATTACAAAAAACTCAAGGATGCAAGAAAACATTTGCACGACTTCACGATGACATTAACGAAAAAAACAACCACAGAAGTGTTGTGAGTGAGAATAACATCAGCGTCTGATTGGTGCACTCGGAACTTCCATGACTGACTGTTTTAGTCTGACAATTGTGCTGTGTGTTGTCGCCTAATTACTCACAAAGAAAACGAGTGGTTCATAGAAGAGACTCTTCTCAGTGATGCCATTTTCTTCAGCTATACCATCGCATTTGTATGCAATTTTTCCACAAAATAAAAGTATAGTAACGAAAGAAATGAGCACAGTTGCTAAAAATGATCAATACATAAAAACAGTTGAGTAAGGGTGATAGAATTACAAAAAGTATGGAAATGTGATATTACATAGGAGTTAAAGAATTAGTTGATAGAGGAAGTGGCTAAAGAACTTTCTTTTTTACTCAGAACTCTTGTTTCTGCATCCAGATGACTAGAGCTCCTCAGCAATGCAAAGAAGGCAAAAGCTTTTTGTCTCTGGCAGAGAGAGATAAAAACAAATTCTCAGTTTGTTTTTTCTATGGTGTACGGCGAAAGATTTCTAATAAGCAAATCAAAGACCATTACTGACTGAGTTTTCATCGGAGGACTTTGCACTAAAATGCGACAGTTCAAGTTCTCACCTCATGAAATCACTGAGAAAATTACAGGAAAGAAATGGAAATGGAACAAACTATAGCCAGGCATCTCGGTGGTGCCGGTCATGAGGAAGGTACCCTGAAATCTTTTAAAATTATCAACAGATAATATAATTCGATTCTCCTCAAGTTTACCGAAACAAATGCCATCAATCAGTTAAAACGCGATTCGTGGGTTCTCAAAAAAGTAGCCATCAGTTCTTTCTTACCCTGATAACTCAGTGTCTCTACTCTTCCTTTTATTTGATTAGGTAATCTCCAGATTTAACACCCTCCCCTTCCGTTATCTAATTTTGCTTTTTGTTGAAATGTTTAAGATTGAACTCCAAGTCGTTACGCAACTCCCTTGTCACTTAATACCTACTTATTCACCTCTAGTCTTTAGTACGCAACTCCCTTGTAAATGTATCCAAACATTTATATATTTCTAGTGTCGTTTTGTTTACACCTGAACATGTATGTACAAGCTATATATATATATATATATATATATATATATATATATATGAGTAATGTTTACTAGTTCTGGAGTCTCCTATAAACTGGCTTCACATCCCCTTTGCAAATTTGTTAGAATTTCCCTGTAGATATATTTAATTAAAATTCCTACGTTGCACGCAGCTGATGAGAAGCCAACGAAATAAATGATAATACCATCTTATTCTGCACAAACTGCTGTTTTTGCTTTACTCGAAGAAACTAAAATAAACTAAAATTTACAGGACGAGGAGTAATTATATGGAGAACATTGAAAGTTTAATACCTCTGAGAACGATTTTAGGCCACATCACTATTAATGTCCAGTCATCCTTATTGTCTCGAGGATCCAGTCAGGCATACTACCTCTATACATGGCATACAATAACAGTTTAAGACTTAATTAATTGGTGTCATGTCTTTGTTTGACCACCTCTAAATCTTTTCCAACTTTATCTATGTCAGCTACCACTAGACACGTCACACTAGTTACTAGTGTCCAATCAAAGTATCCACTACAGTCCTAAAGGAGGTCAATTGCGAGCCCCTACAGCTCAATGGTAACGTCTCTGACTGTAGCACTGGGTGGCGCGGGTTCAAATCTCAGAAGGAACATGAGTTCCTTCAAATTTGAAAATACGCCTTGCTGACTGGTGAGTGCCAACTAGTACGAAACCTAGGTCAAGCAAGGCTTCCTGCTGATTGCCTCCAACTATCTAATATTAACACTGTTTTTCTATAAAAGTACACCATTCTTTGTGTCTCTCCAAAACAAATTTCCCTCAGATACACAAAACTTTTACTGTATAGTTGGGGCTAATATGAGGGAATATATCAATGCCTAGTTGTACTATTGGGCATGTTTTTTTAGATAGTGAGATGAACTAAACATGAGGCATAGACTTTCGAGATTATAATAAATAATTTACGAGCTGTTTCATAAAGTGCTAATTGAACGAATCCATGTGAATCAGGTGTCGTTATGATCTGATTAGCAATATGAGGTATCCAGTTTAGTCAGTACAACACTGAACCAATGGGGTGAAGGCAACTTGTTCCAATCCTGCCACGCTTTTTTATTCCATTCCGATTATAGCTCATTGCAAATATATATATATATATATGTCTGCTAGCAACAGAACCTAAGTCTGTCTGTTTTCGACGTAGAACTTTGCACCGATGTGCAGCAGTTCAAGTCGCTACACTCCATGTAGCACACAAAGCAAGAGAATAAAGTAGAAGAAATGCATGATATAGACAGTAAACATAGGTGTGAGACAAAGGAATAGTAACAACGAAGAACAATATAGTTTCATTGGAAATCGTAAGTCACAAGGAGTGGATGCATCTGCGCCATCCATAGAGAACGACTTTGAACTAGTCATATCACCGATTGTCTCAAGCCATTGGTTTTTACCGTCCTGAGGACCACAACCAGTCAGGAAGTCTACACCTTCCTACGTGGCTTAAACTAATTGTTGTGGATCTCATAGACTGGTGCCATGTTTTGGTTTGACCGCCGCTAGCTTTTTTCCAGCCTGACCCTATGTCAGGTAACAATGCCCGTCGGGGAAGGCGATGTATTTTCATAGCCTCGTCGATTGATTTCCCCTCCTTACCTACCACTCGACGCCTTATCTCAATGTTGCTCACCTTATTATATTTTTTTATATATTTAAAAATAGCTTGAAACCATACAGTATTTTTGGTACATGTATGGAATTTTCAGCATATGATATCGGTGGCCCAAATTTTGCAGGCCAACCATAGACATCAGGTGTGTCGGCAGGGGATCGAACCCCGGACCATGTACATGGTCGGCGAGAGTCCTAACCACTGTGCTACCACCTTACACGGGAGATAAAACACAGACACCTATGATCAAAGACAGCTAGTCTTTTCATGTCTTCTACTCTCAATGGCCAGGTCTCACAGCCATAAAGGAGGATGGAGCGGACTGCTGAACAGTACACCCGCCTTTTGTTCGATAGCCGGATATCACGTCTACGCCAGAGACAGCGTAAAATGGCATAGCCCTCTGTATCCGTGCTGAGATTTCGTCAGAGATCAAACCGTTGGAGCTGATGGTACTTCCCAAATAAGTGAAGCGGTCAACGTGCTCTACCACTTCACTCCCTAAGTAGGTCAATCCACGGCATTCTCAGATAACTCCAGTAACTAAGACTGAATAATAATAATAATGTATTACAGCAAAAAATGACTTCAGAGATGACTAAAATGTGCAAGTGGTTGACGTTTTCCTAATGCATACACTCCTGGATAACAATTTCTTCTATAGGTATTCAAAAAAGAAAATCAATTATTAGGGATAATCTAAATGAATAAACAGCACGAAGGCAAATATTATGGCATTTAATTTATACTGAAGGAAAGTTTACTACATATGTCAGAACACAATGAGATAAATTCTGTACTACTTCAATCATTCTACCAATATATTATGAGGAGAACTAGATCAGAAATGTAAAGGTTCAGTGCAGAACAGGACACAAAATATCACTGTAGACTTCAGAAGAAATATGAATCCGCAATACCTCACGTTTTTTATGCTCATTTGGTAGATTAGAATCCCGGAATTGATCGAATATTCAAGGTGATAGCGATCCATATAAACGTACAGATAGACTAGGACATTGCTCTGGTAAGTGGACTGAAAATATTAAGCTTCAATGAATAAGACAGCCGTACAAGTGAGAAGAAATAAAGTCCTGATCTCTGCTTGCAACACGTACTCACTGTCCAGCTATGAAAACGCACGCCTTAGATACAGACAATATGTACCTATGGAAAAATAATTCAGCTCACTTAAAGCACTTCAGAGAACGATTTCCTAGTTACTGATTGACACGCGACAGGCAAACAGTAAATTCACGAGCAACTGAACATCAACCTGGAAAAGATACACTAAATATATTATTAGTTTCAAAAAGAGAACGAAAGATGGCAATACTCTATGAAGTCTTTGGCTATCGGTATGAACCAAATAGGTTGCTTGGTTCATCTTTGCACAATGCTCAGAATTAGTCACTGGAGGTTCAAGGTGCAATGATTTTAAGCTGCCTGCAGTGGTGCAGATATATTCACGACTTGTAACATCCTAGATCCAAAAACATGTTCTTTAATCTTCACTTAACTATTCTTGTTTTAGTACATCTTCGTACAATAACTTTTAACATGCTTATTTCTCTTAATTTCATGTGCTCCCCGGAAGTGCGGCAGCATGAAGTGGTTTTCTGCTAAATCAGTTGACCAACTACAAACAGAAGTTCAGATTTTAGTACACATTGAACCAAAATATTCTACAATTATTAAGTGTGACATATTTACGGCCATCTGAATGCACTGACTACAATAGGATTTTGAGTAATTCATCGTCATTGGGTTAGTGCAATTTGAGCTTTTAGCATGGACCTTAATACTTATAATGATGAATGGAAGCAAAGGTACTTGGATGCCAATTAACCGGTGTACTGTACTACGTTTCATAGTTGAGTAGACTAAGTATTGAAATATATACATGTGGCCACGTCTTTGATTTGTATTATGCAACTTATTTGGGTTGAAGCTAAAAGGGACTGCAAACCCTATATAGTAATGCAATACCGAAGGGAGTGATGTGAATCTATTCATTTCGCATCACAATTTTACTCAGCCCACAATAATGTGAACAACTCTACGTGATTTAGAATCAAACAAATAAATGTTAACGTCTCCACACAAAATATCGCAATCTACTAAAAATATTCTTCTAATGTTTTGCCTCTTAATGGACAGAGGGTCATCTGATTCCTTACCCCAAAAGAGATAGAAATACACAGGTAGTAACTACGTATCGTATATATTTACATTCCATTTTAAACAGATGTTCTCTATACTCCTTTCGTTCCTTTTGGTCGAAGGCATTTCTCCTTCAGAGTCTCATCAATCTTTTCCTCTAATTCCTTTTCCTGTGTGTATTTTTCCTGAGTTCGCTTCATTTCAGATGTTAACCGTATTACTTCATTCTACATAAAAAAGAATATACACCTCATAGTATTACAGACTTACTGCAAAGTTAAACTGATTGATTGCACGTCGTTTTTGACCTACACTTGTAAATCGGGGGGTTGGTTTTCCTAGTTAACCCGAGAAATGACGATAAACCATTTGTTGATTCACTAACCTATTATGACATAATCGGGTATGTCTGTCAAAGGTCCCCATTCATTATTACTAGGAGGTAGTCGACGCCTTTCAATTGATATAGAGAATGCTAGGCAAACTTACCGAGCTCTAAATAAACCCCCCGCTGCGTTATGGTTCGTCCAGTGAATCTGTCTACAACAGGAAATCCTTAAAACTTGTGCCATTCTTGAACATCGCTCGTTGACCCTGAATCCAATATCCAATATCGTTTTTACGAACTAGTATAAACCAATTTGATTTCTTTGAGCTTGCCTCTTGATTGTGAGGTAGAGGTTCCTGATCTTCGTTAAACGTCTGCGTAGCTCGTCCCGCCACTCGACTGCCGTAGCTTTGGTTGACTCCAAAAGGAGTAGTGCAGGGATTAATTATGTGGTTTGTAGTATGAGGTGTGTTAAGACTGTTACTACTGTGAATGGAGTTGATCATTTCACCAGTTGGTCCTTCGGTATCGTCGTCAATAGAAAAGAGATAATAATAATAACAATAATAATAATAACAGATTTGATTAGTGAAGGTATTCAGACTAACAGACAGAAAATGAATAAGAAAAGGTAACAACAGTCAGTCAAAGGGTATACATATACCAGTAATAATGATGACAATAATAATAGGTGTAGTTAAAGCTGTCAGGAGAGTAAGACTGAAGAGAATGTAAAGAAGTAAAACGACCAGTTTAATTGTCTACCTTTGAATGGTGTATGCGATTTTAAGGGGATAGGCCATTTGGATGAAGTCCTTGTGTCGCTGCATGGTTGTCCAGCCTTCGCTTAAAGGCGTCCACAGATGGTGCCATAGCTACATCTACCGGTAAGGAATTCCAGGGACGGCAAACCCGCAGGGAAAATAAGTGGGAGCGCACCCGGGTCCTTGCCCTCTGATGAGCTATCCTTCTAGGATTTCCACGAGGGAGCCTATACCTACTCAATGGCAGAACACCTTTGTTTGGGTGATTCTGATCATTTGTTATTTTGTAGGCAGTAATTAAATCCCCCTAAGGCGACGGTAACTAAGTGTGAATAGGACGAATTTCTTCAGCCTTTCATCATATGGTTTATTTCGGAGACCAACCACTCCTTTTGTTGCCTGTCGTTGGACTCTTTCCAAGAGGTTGGCGTCTCTTTTAAGCAGTGGGGGTGCAATGATATTATGCACTTCAAGATGCGGTCTGACGTATGTTTCATACAACCTTAGAAAGAGCTCAGGAGTGAGTGCACCTAATTGTCTATATGTAAAGTGTATGACCGCATATGCCCTCGCTACATCCCCCGTGTAATTTACGCTTGTGTCCATTTTCTCCGTTAGAACTAGACCTAAGTCACGTCCCGACGTTGAGCAGGACAAGCTTTCATTGCACAGGGTGTAACTTGCATTCTGCAGTCTACAGGTGCGTAACTTCACTACTTTGCGCTTTTTCAGGTTGAAAGTCATGCCACTGGCCACCGCCCAGTCTTCCAGAAGCCTTAGATCTGCCTGCAGTCTATATGAGTCCTCCGGACAATTTATCGCCCTCCATATCTTCACGTCATCAGCGTATAGAAGAGTCGGGCAGCTTAGACGGCATGGTAGATCATTGATAAAAATCAAGAACATCGGTGGTCCTAGGATAGAACCCTGCCACACTCCTGATGACGAGCGTGCCAAGATGATCGGACTCGATTGACCTTGGTGCAAAATTGCCTTTCAGTTAAATAGTCCTTCAACCATGATAGAAGTGGTTTACCTAAACCTACCTGGCTTATCTTGTGTAGGAGGTCATGGTGAACAGTGTCAAATGCCTTCTTAAGGTCTAGAAAGATCACATGGACTGGAACATTCATATCCCAGCATGATGTCCAGTCGTCCCAAGCTGATAATAAGTTAGTGACGCAGGATCTCTCTTTCCTGATACCGTGTTGGGCTTCATGGAGTATTTTAGACCTGTCCAGATATTCCCTGATGTGATCATCAATAATACTTTCCAGTACTTTCGATACCACTGGGAGTAGAGCTACTGGTCTACAACTGGTGGGATTTTGCCTATCCCCACCCTTGAAGATCGGAGAAAGGATGCTTCTTTTCCATTCCTTTGGCAGTTTCCCCGATTCCATGGAGTGTTGGAACAAGTCGCATAAAGGCCTACAGAGAGCTTCGGCGCACGGTTCCAGAACAGATGACCTGATGTCATCACAACCTGGAGAGTTCCCAGGTATGAGTCGCTGCAGCTTTCTCAGTACTGTTGCAGGGTTTATTTGGGGGGTGGCTATTTGGTCTTCCTCCTGTGAAATAGTCATGCCACCATTTTGGTCCGTAACGGTAATACCCACATTGCTGTTTAGCTGTTTGGCGAAGGCTAAACTAAATGTTTCAGCCATCTCCAGACTAGTGAGATATTGACCGTTTCGGCCTACTAAGGCGCACGCCCCCTGGTTGGTTGGTTTCCTTTCCGACATGAATCGGTACAAATTCTTCGGGTTTGCCAGGAGTTTCTTAGCAAGGTTAGCCTGGAATGACCTTCTGTCCCTCCTGACTCTTGCATTGCATCGGTTCCTGAGTTCCAGGTATGCATCGTGGTCGATCTGGCTTTTAGATACGCGCCACGTAAACCAAGCCTTCCGCTTTGCTTGCAGAATACTCTGCGTGCCTCTCTTTAACCAAGATGACTTTCTTTTGGGCTGTGTTGTGACTTAAGGGACGGTATCCGAGATTACTGTATGAATAATCTTTTTTACTGCTTCCCGGTGTTCATCCACAGACAGCTCATCCCATGCTAAGGGCCAGTCTGCATCGGACAAGAGCCTCCGCATTTCAGCATAGTCAGCCTTGCTATAACACAGACATGGTTGCGTAGCGCCCCACTGCAAATGCTCACGGAGAATGAGGTCGAAACCCATGACTGCGTGGTCACTACTTCCTAGAGGAGTCATGATCTGGGCCTTTTCGACAAGTAGTTGGTCACTAGTTAGAATGTAGTCTAGTTTTGATTACTTTCCACTAGGGCCCCACCTAGTGTCGTCTCCAACGTTCTCAGTCAGTCCTGTGTTCCGATATCCAATATGAGTTTCAGAAAACATTCGGATATTTGGTTCGAGGTTCGTAGGCCTCAAGCCTTTGTCAATTCTTTTCCAATAATTATCTTTGCATGTCTAATCAATTCTAGGAATAGCCGGTTTTGGGTGCAGATATCATTTTTCTGGAAGTTGGTTCCAAGAGTTCATGACTCAATGGGCGAACCTGTTATACACAGCAACATAGTTTCTCCTTGGCTTTTGAACGCTTCTGCTTTATATTTTGAGATGACTGAATCCAGAGTAAACAGAAAGAGAAGAGATATCTATGAGCTCACTTTCAAGTTCACATCAGAAGCATCATGGGCCAAAATCCCAGCTTGGCCAAATGTTTGGAAAGCTGTTATAAATGCGATTATCTCAGCAGCCAACTCAGTGAACTAGTACATCAACCCAGAGTTCAAAGAAGAAGCAGCATGGAACCAGTTTAAGCAGCTGTACTCTCAGGTCACCGAAACTATTATCTCTTAAAGAGTCTGTAGCGGTAGGTAATTCCCCAGAATTATTAGCTACAGCATTCATCACTGAACATTGGATGCTGACCCTCACTGTTTAAGTCAACCTGTTTAGCTGAAGGCTTCCTGTCTAGCATCCACGCCATTTGGTACGCCATCGTGTCACGCACAATCCCTAGCTAGTTGGGCAATCATCTCGCACTCCGATTTGGTCCTGAAATATTACTCCTCATTTAGATGGGCAATTCTGGTGTTTTGCTTTGCCTTTGGTCTATGCGGACGGAATACTATAGGAATTGTGGATGTTAGATCTTGCGTTAGTATACTTCGTACTATCCGTGAACGTCAATACCATCAACCTCTAAACTGGTGACCCCTACTGCGATCTTCAACTTTGGAAAATACACAGACAAATCCGGTGAGTTCGTTTCATTTTGTATTTGTTCTTGTACTATTTTCAAATTATGTATATTTCGTCACGAGTGATCATACTCCTAAGGTCATCCGTATTCGCTCAACTGCCAAAACTATTCAGCTCGTACCATTTTGGCCAGATAATGCTGCATCATGGTTTCAGATAGCTGAGTTTGATTTTAGCGAACATACGTTAACTTTTCAAATTTCACAGTCTCTTTTAGCATTCATTTTTATTAGCCACTTAACATATTCATAGATCTATTTTCAATCTCATGATACATTGGGTACGCTGAGGCCAATCGTATCACCTCACTTTTGTCCATTCCGAACAAATTTTCTAAATCATGGGAAGTGAAACCCATATGAATGCGCAAGTTATCTCAACATGCTGTCGTGGAAAATTATGCTTCATTCATATAATCTTAGTTGATTGGGGCCCCGATTTAACATCAACAAGTTAGATCACACCAAATAAATGTGCGATTTTTTTGTTGCGGAATATGTGGGATGCTATCAATGTTCGCTACTAACTTTGATGACGCTATTGGTCCTGTGTTCACAATGGCTAACGGTTTTATTCCTTATTTATTAAAATGTATTTGTTTGAATGCTAGGCGTGTGCTGTAATAACATATTAAACACTTCATTCGTCACACTGCTGACGTGACACATTTAATGCCAAATTCTCTTTTTTAATGATCGGCATTTGTTGTGGGTATATTGGATGTCTTGTACTGTTTGTGGATCTCATTAGGCAAAAGTATTACATCCACCTTTCAATCTGTTCATACATACAAAAGTCGAGTTGTTGTCGTAGCTAATAAATGTTTCGGTCACGAAACACCTTAACAACTAATTCGCCAATAGTAACTATGCCAATCATATACAATATCATAGGTATTGTCATACTGAAGCAGTCACGAGTTGTGATGGTTACTTAGCACAAAATGGACACACACATATGGTGATTGTATTGTATGTATGTATTGTATGATTAGACTAATCATTGCCTCTGGCTATCTAACGCAGTAAACTTTCACGACCAACTCAACTTCATGAATGACTGCGAGTTATGTACAAGTTGCTCTAAGGTCGATTCCCACACCATCTTGTCGGTCTAATTGTGGTAAAGCGACCTAATTATTTAATCGCATCACACTTCAGCCTAATAGTGGCCAGTCTGAAGCACCTATCCTAAAACTGAAAGCCATAATAATAGTGAATCAAAGGTATGGGTTAGGAGTTATCCTTCCTGTCGTTTGAACTCATGCTCTGGCAACTGATCAGCTGGTGTTGCAACTAACAAAAACCATAGCGGTTCCCACCCATTATGCCACAATGTACTGATCTCGTCTTAAGTCAATTCGACTAGTCCACCAACTACGCAGAATGAAATTACTGGCTAATTACCGTTTGCTGCACTATTTAGATTCAAATCCTTATTTCAGAGTGAAGGGCAACTTTAGCGGTTAACTCAGAAGTTAACCAGGCCAGTTTATTATCACGTGATTACCACTCTGCATTACGAGCATACGCATGTAATTTAACATAATAGTACCCAGAACAACCAATGATAAAGGTGCATCTTTCACCTGATCTTCCAACGTTCAGTCCTCAGCACCATCAAGTCGTCACTTTAAATCAATACATCATGTGATATAACGGGACGTTGAGTTTACAGTCCATCTCACGCGGTTACGCTCACGTTCGTTTTATCACACAGCTAGTATTTCGATTCCACGGTGACCACGTCACATACTCAAAATTCTTTTCTGCCTTCAGATATGAGTCGGAAATTAAATTCCTGCCGGAGACAACCATGTTCATATGCGTCCCAAATAATAATATTTCAGCTGATTGAAGATATATCCATGTCCACTCAGCCACCTTCACATCTACAGGAATATTTGCACAATCAAACGTTGCGAGACTATATCCCATCACTACTTTCATCAGTCGCCAAACTGACTATCGAGTATAGTCATAATATTAATACTTCTGTTTATCTACTAAGCTATTTCCTTTGACCAGTTTCTGCTTTTCTTCTGCTTTCTGTTTCGGATTCACAGTACGCAATGAATGTCGCAGGCCCCTCAAGGTTTTCTAAGCTCAGATGTTCCTTCCAGTTAATCGGATCAACCTTAGTTGATTCTGGCGGGGGAGTTATTTAGGAGGTAAAAGAAGTTCTTTAAATCAACTGAATCTCAGACGTTTCACATCAATGATAGTTTTTATTTGTGCTGATTAAAACTCGTGGTGATCACGATGATTTTCAAGGGACAAGAACATGCGTCTATGCTGTAGTGCAGTCGCGTATTCCCATATTCCTTCCACATCACTGTCATTAAATACCTCTTTGAGTGGTTGAGTTCTATTCCCCCGTCACTGTTTCGGGTGGTGTTAAAAACAACCTGGCCATAACTACATAAGTGAGCCAGGATAAAAAAGGGCCAACAGGTGTCGTGGTTGAAGCCGACATGGATGGTCGCGCAGTGATCAGGGGTTAATTCTATTTGAAGCGAACCGGAGGAGAGCTGGAAGTCTTTCGAGCAGCCTAACTAACTAGTTCCATTATGGGTAAATTTTATTTTGATAGAGTCTCACAGTGTTATACAGTAATATTTACTGATGACGTTTCGAGCACAATTTATTGCTCATAATCATATCAAGTTAATCACACGACTTCCTAAATTCATTTATATAGTTCCATTGTTTTTCACTTGATTTTCACTTGATTTGATTGGTAGTATTATTTTCCATATCTCGGGTATGAGTGATGATTCATTCCTATTGCATGTGTTGGGTGTAGATTCGATGAAGAAGGATTCAGTAATCAACCTCTCTCTCCACCTACCTAGATTACTTTTTGGAATTTTAACCCTCTCCCACCCAACATATTGTGTGGTTGTGTGTTAATGCATGCATTGCAATTGCTGAGCTTTTTTCTAAATTACTTATCTTCTCTGGGTCAACCATTCTTACCTTAGCTAAATTCTTATGTTCTGACAATCTGACTACCTCTGACCTAGTAGTCTGACCTATGTAGTTGACCTCACAGTCATTGCAGGGTATTTTGTAAATTATATTATTTTGTCTAATTGGGTCCACTGGGTCCTTTAACCTACAGAGCTTGTCCCTGAGTGAGTTTGTAGGTTTAAATGCCACCCTAATTCCCGCTTTATTTAGAATCCTACGTAGGGTCTCAAATGCCCCCAATTAGACAAAATATTATAATTTACAAAATACCCTGCAATGACTGTGAGCTAGGTCAACTACATAGGTCAAACTAGTACATCGGGGGTAATCAGACTGACGGAACATAAGAATTTAGCTAAGGTAAGAATGGTTGACCCAGAGAAGATAAGTAATTTAGAAAAAAGCTCGGAATTGCAATGCATGCATTAACACACAACCACACAATATGTTGGGTGGGAGAGGGTTAAAATTCCAAAAAGTAATCTAGGTAGGTGGAGAGAGAGGTTGATTACTGAATCCTTCTTCATCGAATCTACACCCAACACATGCAATAGGAATGAATCATCACTCATACCCGAGATATGGAAAATAATACTACCAATCAAATCAAGTGAAAATCAAGTGAAAAACAATGGAACTATATAAATGAATTTAGGAAGTCGTGTGATTAACTTGATATGATTATGAGCAATAAATTGTGCTCGAAACGTCATCAGTAAATATTACTGTATAACACTGTGAGACTCTATCAAAATAAAATTTACCCATAATGGAATTACACTCTACCACAGTGCCCAAGTTTTATTCTTATATTAACTAACTGGTTCCCTGAAAATTCAATTCAGTGAATCTCTCTGATATTACTTCGGTAGTATTCTGCTCGGATGATGCGTAAATCCATAGATCGACGCTCGTTGCTTCATGGTTTCAAAACATTCCGCTTTCTATAAAGCACGCATATCATGCTGACCCATCACGTAAATTATATGTCACCGTCATATAATCACTCCAAAAGTTTCCACGACATGCAGGGCAATTTCATTCCTTCGTCTCAGAAGTAAGCACTTAGACAGCTTGCAGAGCAGAGTTAAGCTCTAGACTCAGAAATGATATAGTCTACAAGTGTGCAGCCAACCCTACTGGAGCGTATAAGGGTGATGACACAGATCAAACACCTATTCATATCACTATATTGCTGACACCACCCACACTACACCCAAATTTACCGCGGCCAGCATCCTGTGGTGCACATGTGCACCTCTGGTGTTAGCGATTTGTATCTCTATGACTGGCTGATGTAAGTTTATATTTTGGCCAAACATGTTGCCTGCACCCTAAGTATATGGATAGATGAACTTATGTTTGTAATACACGTTAGTTTTCTTTCAGCCATCCTGAAAACAGTTACAAAGCCAAATCAAAGGTAACAATTCAATCGTTCGCAATGCTGCGAATATTTCAAGAACGGTCTATCCAGATCAAATACTTGTTGAGTTAACTAGGAATAGTATGCACGAAGTCATCTTTCAAATCTTTCTTAATCTCGAGTAGGACACATGGAAGCGATTTATTGCTTGGAGTTGACGGTATAGTCCTCGAGTGTAATCTGAATCGTCATGTCAGATCATTCGCCTAAGGCTTGCTTGGGGACAATCAAGAACTAGATTTTCTGGACAGGCCAAGAATATTCAGTTTGAGTAACCGCTCTCATTTGGATGTCATGAAAGATGAAAGTGAGGATCTGCCGTTGAACAAAAGTATATGTAATTATTCAGAAGAATTCTACCTTTGTGATTGCCCTCTTGAGGTCGTAAAATTAAGTGATACACCTAAATGGATTTGTGTTAGACCCTAACAAGGTATAGCTCCGTGTACACGGAAGTGGTTGTATCTACTATAAGGGGCAAGAGACAAACATAGAGCAGGATCGGCAGGTTGTGCATGAGCAAACTTAATATCTTTTGAAGGCTGCGAAGCGACTCGGAATCAACATGACTGAAAATGATATACTGAGGTCGGATAGGTTACCTAAGGCGGTGAACATGGCAGAGTGACTAATCAGAAAATATAAAATGGCTAATCTATTCGTGATGTTATTGTATATCTGACTAGTTGCGATAATTTAGTCATCACTGTTCTTCAGCCCTGATCTTTATAACATCATTCCTACATTACCACGTAATTTTTTGGTTTGGTCTATGTTTTTCGATGATACTTATCTTTAGTGTCTTGATTTAACATTGTGTAAGCCGTTGGCAAATTCTGATGTGGAAAAACTGCGAAATCCGATAGGTGTTTTCATGAATCGACTCCAAGGCTATCAGCATATTTCTATGGGCTTTAGAACGACGAGCATCCCGGGGAACTCGGACACATTGGGAATAAAACGAAGAAAACAGAGTTCTCGAAAGGACTAATTCACTTCAGAAAACGAATGTAGGAACCAACCAGAAGGAGGGAAATATTTGAGGAGTTCGACCCTTCTATCCAATAACTTCAGAAAGTTTTAAAAATAAGAGTTCTGAGATTTACTAATCCAACTACATTATAATAATTGTATTCTTCATTCGTTGGTTCCGGATAAAACATTTGCACCGAAGTATATTTAGCCTGTCTATGCGTAGAACGGCGACGAGGGGTTGTAACCCTCATAAGCTATTTATTAAGTAATTCTGTCGTTTCAAATTCAGTGTATTTAAGGATTACGTAGTGAGCGTTCCTAACAGACGGGCCGTTTGGATGCTTATGCCGTTCCATCAACAGAGTCAGCAAAGTCATTGCAAATGGTGCGTGAAGGGTCGCAAGTAAAATTTAGAGTAACTCTAAGGACTTAAAGAAACAGTTCGCTGCATATTGTCGAAGTCAGATTTTCGTTGATCTTCAACTTCAACCACTTAGGCAGTCGCTAAAAGAAGCGAGGTACAAAACTGTGCTAAGATGCAGAAGTGGGTGAATCCGCAATAAGGAGACCTCATAACATCTGAAAATAAGCTGATAACAAACGCACAAGTTTGATCTCATTTTATTGTTGATACGACAAAGATTATACAATGCACTTTGCATTTCGGCTTACTTACTCACTATAAAAATGTTTGCAAGAAAAACAAAAACGTAACACTCTGGAAGAAAGTGACGATTTAGTCAAACAATAGGTATTCTGGATAAATTGTTTAAGTCCATCTTCTACAGAGTGACCTTCGTGTGACCTATTTGAGGCACACTGTGCTGCTTTCAATTTTTATGCATTTGTTTGGGGTACCATCCCTTTTTATCCTCTTGGAAAAGTAATTTAGTACAAATGCAGGTAAGTTTTCTACGCCTTGTCATATTTTTGACGATTTTTATTCAGTTTTTCGCCCTTTAGACTAAAAACGGGAGTTTTACCACCGCTTTTATGTGTACTAACAAAGTTCCAGAACTGAAAGACACAAAGCATTTGCTTGAATATCTCAAGGAATTATTGACAGATAGAATAAATCTGTTAGCTTCCTCTGACTTATATATACATGTCCTGAGGATTTTGGAAAAAGGTATTTGTCGTGTGACTCGTTATTATTCCAAGAAATATTAAACGTTCGAAGTGAATTGTTTTCAGCCTTTGGTATCTATCAGATAACCGATGAAGAACTACCAGCTCCTGAAGGTCGAAAAGTCAGTCTTCAAGCCAAAGTGTATATGCCAACAGGAACTTCCAATAACGTAAGCGTAAAGCCTTTTTCTCATTGTAATATTTATTAAAATTACTGTTTAGTATCTCCCTTAAAGAGTTTTCGCATGCATTCACCACTTTTAAGGTTTTCAGATATTGTTTGGGATTTTTACTAAATGCAAATGTGAAGCAAGAAATCAAATTAAAATTAAAAATCTATGGGTGATTTGTCTCTTTATTTTATGTAGCCACTCCTCATACGGTTAAGAATTAGAGGTTATCGCCGAACAATGGTGAGAACGCTAGATTTTATAAAGTGATTAACGTGGAGTTGATGTGACCCTACATCAGTTGTAAACACTGGACATCTATTTAATTAAATAACTTTATTTCAAAGTTTTGTGGTATTATTTGAGTCAGGATGTTTACAGGGAATATATTACTTTAAAGGGTTTTTATAAATTTTATCAGTAAGACCTTTCCGAAATTGTTTTTCTCTTGATTATGGGAAAAAGCGTTACTGGGAGTATTTTGTAGAAGCCGAGATATTGCTGTGAATTGAAGCCGGTGGGAAGCTTTTGACTAATTGTATGGTTCACCGTGGATCAGTGTTGATGTTTCGCATGATTATTTTTAGGCCTAATGTACACACCACTTAATATTACTGTATTCCAATTTTTGTGCAGAATTGATATGATGCCACACTTTTTCAGCCATCCTTTATAAACATTGGCTGGCTGTTTGTCCAATGTAAAATTTTGGCGTTACTCAAATGATTTAGGGCACACGACTAGTTTCCTTAATAATTGGAAATTAATAGAAGTGTTACGCAATTCTGTCAAACTTCAAGTGGTATTTGAGGGCATTGCTGTGAAGGAAATACCTGGTAGCAGTAGAAATCCTATAGACCAAGAAAAGCTATTCGACTGTGAGTATGCAAGTAATAGCGTCTTTGGTTGTCATATGATACTCTCTGAGTTGTATTTAATAAGTGATCGTTGTCTCAGTGTACCTCAGGTTTTCCATTATGGTAGTATTCAGTGTCTTCTTGAGACCGTAAAGTATATCACTGTAAGTGGTCAAAAGACCCATTTATTTCATTATTTCTGTGACTGCTGATTTGAGTAGTTTTATTGCACCGACATGAAGCCTGATCTTAAGTAAATCTGATTGTTTGTGATTCAACACCTCTGCCCCGTATATTTATTCTGATCCGCTTACTACTTTCAGGTGGTTCTAGTATCCGGCATCTTAATAAACACTAGTACACTATGAGTGACTTTATCCTAAAGCACTGACTTAATTAGCTAAGCTACTTTGTACTGATTGTTGCACAATTGCTGTTAGTCTGTCTGTTATTCTAATAAAACCTGAAGTTATAGTTGTTTCGTTGTTACTTTGTACAGTTCAGAATGTTGGAATTTCTGAGAATTAGGTATTGGCGATTAGTGTTAAACTTTCAAAAGAATAAATGCATAAGAAACAGAAAATGAAGAGAATATCGCATTTTATGTAAAATGCTGTGCAGGTTGGATAATTGCTTCAGTATAGATTACTGAAATTTCTAGAAGAAAAGACTGATAAAAACAAACATCTAGTATGATAAGATACCGAAATTTTGTCCGAAAAGCAGCTGAATCTGCTCCATGTTGATCTTGACCTTCCACCAAGTATCTTCACTGAATGATATTTGGCTTCTTACGTGGTCATCCAATATATTAGGTAATGTCTGGGATTCAAATGTAATCCTGATAGACTGTTGTCAATCATTGGTTATCTCAGTTCATAAGAAGGAAGACAAATCTTCCTGCGATTATTATAGCGAAATTAGCATGACTAATGTTGTAGTATCTAAAGTTCTAGTTTCAGTAATCATGTGTAGACTGAGTGTTGCTCGGGTTAAAAAAAACCCGTAAAAATCAGGTTGGCTTTAGGCCAGGAAAAGTGGTTTCGATCATATCTTCACCTTTTAACAGATTCTGGAACATAGGCATACGTTTTGCCATCCAACACTTGTTGTACTTCCTGACTTGTAGATGGTCTAGAGGTGTTGTGGCAATGTAAAGGGAGCTCCAGAGAAGTATTTTGTACTAATCAAGGCATTCATCTCGAACTCACACAGTCGTGTAAAAGCTTCTGGATAGCTGTTATCTGAAGTGATTATAAACAGTGGTAACCGTTAGGGATACATACTGTCCCCATTTTTGTTTAATTTCATGATAGATGTCCAAATAGATGTGATCCTAACTGACTCTAACGACTTACTGAATGACTTGTTACCAGGGTGTAGTCTCGTCAACTTAGAGTGTGTAGATGATATTGTCCTCCTAGGTAGAGCTGCTGACAAAATGTAAAGTCTTCTGAACGCCTTGAAGAGTAATCTTCAGACGTTTGGCATGTGATTGTCCCTTATCAAATGTAAGATGATGCTGCAGGAGTGGTGTGCCCCTACTCCCGGTTATACAGATAGGGAGTGAAGTGGTTGAGTTGGTCGACCACTTCACTTATCTGAGAAGTTGTAGTATTAGCTGACAAAATATCAGCATAGATACAAAAAGCACGTATGGTATTTGTCGACTTACTTCACTCTAGCATATACGTGGGCACTACGCAGCAGTTCACTCTGTCCTTCTTTATAGCTGTGAAACGTGGTTGTCAAAAGCAAAATGACTTGAAGATATTTACTGTCTTTAATCACAAACGTCTGTGAACTACTACTGAGTCAAGTGGTATAATATGATGAGGAGTATTGAAGTTAGGCGGGGAAGGTCAATCGATGAGGTTGTGAAGCTATACTGATTGAGATGAGTAGCACACGTATAATACATGCTTTATATATATGTGAACACAGCACATGAATTTTCAGCGTAGTATTCCCCCTTCTTACAAGAATTAAATTAATAATCTGAAGTATATCATGTGAAGTAGTGTTGTTGCATATAAGGATAGAACCCTTTCTGTATATTTTGTCTTCATTTCCTTCAAGAGTAGCGCAGTGTTTTATTGGAAGCTAATTCAATACGTACGCAAGTTCATGTAGTGACTTTCAAATGACTGCATAACTAAAGCAATAAGAAAAGCAAAAGAGTTTAGGCGATTTGACTGGTGAAAACTCTTGTAGCCCAGTGATTTAAGCAGGCTGCTGTTTTGAACAATGCGAGGTGACATCGTATAAGATTGGGAAAAAAAGATACGGGTAGTGGAATCAAAACCTGATATCAATCCGTTAATTGTTTGACAGTGGGTACGAGCCGCGGAGGGAGGTGTAGTCTGTCAAGCTGGAGTTCTTGAGACTCTAAGAACCTATGCCGTGTGATTTCTGGTGATATGGCTCAAAATCATTGTCAGTAATGCGGATACATTCACACGTTGTTATCTCCCAGACCCATTAAATTCTCATGTTTTTCCATGTTACAACTCTTTCTACCGTACATTTCTGCTCATTGTATTTCTTGAGAGTTCCTGTCTTTTTCTTCTCTATCTTTGTGTGCTGTTTGGAGTGTAGCTGATTGAACGCTTGTACTGCTGTGTAATGTTCTATGCTTCAACCCAGTCAGTCAACATTTGTTTTATGGTGTTAATTTACTATTGTTTGCCGCACAGTCTTAAAATATGACATTTCTATTGTTGTACCACTAACTCAAACTGAGATTGACGAAAATAAAGATGAATATTACCCACTTTAAATGTAAAAATAGAAACACTGGCACTTATAACAAGATGAAAACGAAATGCTGGGCAATAGTTGAGATAATCACAGCTTATAGTTTTAGTATAATGGGTTTGTCAAGTGGATGATGCAGCGAAATAATGCTGAGAAGTAGTCAACACTTGCACGTACTGAGAGGTGATATACTCATTCAACTCAAATTTTAAAGTAAAGAAACTGAATTACCAAGATAGAAAAGTGATTATTTCAGGTTCTATGATAATACACAAGTCAGGTTTAAGGCGTTTAATGATGGTAGTCTCGGCAAACTTGATGAGGTTCAAGTTTGTTTTTCTATGATCTTGGAAGAATTTAAGATGTCTTGTTGTCGGTGTTTTGTTTCACATAGTTGGTGAGTGGTGACTGTGTTTAGGGTTGAACTCCCTCTTTATCGTAGGCTCTCCGGGATCAAAGGTAGGTTCTTATCTCTGACCTCCCTATGTATCCGTTTCAGTAGCTACAAGTAAATTGGCATACATAGCTGGATATACATTTCGAAACTCACCTGGACTGACGAACACATTATTTAGTCACAGAAATGAATTTGGCTACAGGAGACTTTGTTACCAGTGATCTCTGGAATGTCATCACCTTCGTATATAAGATGACGGAATACAGGTTTTCTTGACAGCTTTTTTTTTAACTCTTTAGATTGCTACCCCCATGAATTTGGTGTTACGTTGTTTTGCTAAGTCCATCAAACTGATAAGGCAACGTACTGGCCGATGTCTTTGTGACAAATCTAGAGAATGCTAAACTGAAAAGTCATTTAGAGAAATGACATTCTAGACCTGCTGTGTTGACAGTTTTTGTTTTTAGTTTGTCGCCTTGCATTCCTAGTGGAACATAGGGCTTGAAGCTTGAGCTCTGAAGTTTCAGTAGCAGTGGTATTCTTTTTTACGGAGTGAGGTTGTTATCCTCACATCCACGGATACTTTTTTTTACAGAGCGTATAATCAGCTAAGTGAGGTTTAGGCGTGGGTTGGCCAGGATTTGAAATCCGGACCACTTGCATTGTATGGTTGGCGGGCATTCAACCGCTGAACTCTAGACGGCACCCTTCATTTGATGCTAAGATCAAGCTCATGCGTTCCACTTGTTAGAAAACTTAAATAATGTCCATAACAATGCATTTGTGCCTAACTGATTGAGTTTCAATACAGAACTTTACACAAAAGTGTAGCAGTTCAAGTTGCCGCACTCCTCCATATGTGCTATAAAGAAAGAAATTCAAAGGGGCTTTAATGAGCAGGAAAATGGGAGAAACTTGTTACACCGAAAACATTAGATTGTAATGGAATACAGGGAGGTTAGAGGGAGTGAATGTATCTGAACCAGTGA